GTGTGTTTTTCCGCAAATAAAGGCACTCGAGGACTCGAAATGATAAGTAAACGGCCATTAGAAGGCTAAATAGTGGGTGGATGGACCAATTGAAGCGGCTGATGTGTGTTAAACTGATAGATAATTTGCGGTCCTTGGTAGAAGCTTGATTTTGCATTGTTGTTCGCATACTTGGCAAGGAATTTGTTCTCAAAATTTTAACTCTGTAACTTTCGTGGTTTTGGGGTTGAATTATTTAGACAGGCAAACGTATACACACAGAGAGACGAACACAACCTTAGCACAGCAGCTGCTTTTTTTTTTCGAATTCATTCTAGAGCCTTGCAGCGATCAAAGAAATATCCTTGCTATGATGTGGAGCAGTTGCATCAAGGGACTTTAATCTTGTAATTTTCAAAACTGTCCAATAAGAAGCCCAAGTGACACAACTTACCGCACCTGGCCTTTTTGTGCAGTGATACCAGTTCGGAAATAATGACCGAACTCTCGAAAACTTTAGTAGCCTGCACACTCCCGCCCTCCCTCCCAAAAATGTTTTATTTGATTAGTCAAAGTTAACAAAATTGGACCGAATTTTGGCCTCCGCTGACAGATTAGCTCACACTGAAAAGTACAAATTGATCTTTTTTAGCTTCCGTATTATCCCCTACGAGGTCGACAACTGTGGTTCCAGAAGGCCCCTTCTAAAAATCCGTAATTGCACCCACTCGACTCTGTGTTGAGATCTGGAAATTAGCAAAATCATAAGCGTGCGTACATCAAGAAATTAGAGAATTGATTTTAATTCTCATCTTTTAGAATTGTGTTTTTAGTTCAAATTTATTGCAACAGATAGTTACGCACATGCGCACTTCATTAGTGTCATCGTGGTATTTTTTTTTTGCTGAAGCGAGTGAAACTTCTGCACTGTAAGCCAAAAGTAAGGGAATTTATGCGTTTTAAGAGGTCTGTTGTTATGACGCATGATTATTTTATTTCAAACTAGATAGGGTGATTTTTATGCGTTTTTGCATATATTCAAATGCGAAAACGCATATTGCGACGACCCCGGTGTGTGTGTGTGTATGTGTGTGTCTGTGTCTGTCCGAGTATTTCAACTCGGCACCTAAGCCAGCTCCGGTGCCAAAATTTTGTGAGTGGATTCCGTGGCCAAGTGCCACTCAGGGCCGCGGTACCAATCCTCACGCACGTCTAGGCCCCGCGTACGAGCGCCTCAAAGTTCTGACCGGAAAATCGCTAACTTGGGAACCAGAGAAGCTGGAAAGCAGAAATTTTGGGGTTATGTTCCCCGTC